TAAAATATGAATAACATTTTAAGAAACCAAATGTTGGATAAAATTGTGTAAAGCAGGGCACAATGATAAAACTGTTTAAAGCAGTGTATGCAAGTCATCCTAAATTCAAATGTCGGTTATACATCTCTTTTTATTTATATATATCTTTTCTGAATGGAACATTGAAAGGCGTGTTAAGTGTGCTTTACTGTATTTTCTCTTTTAATATATGCAGTTTTCAAATGCATTGTAGTGTGGGTTACAAAGTATTCTTCTGAAAGAAACACAATTCAAATAAATAAAATAAAATTCTGGACAATTTATATTAATAAATATATTTAACCCCTTCGCGCCGGATAGCGCAAACACGCGCTTATCGCGAAGGCCGGCAGTGTCTTACGCGAGCGTCTGTTCAGGACGGGGAGCTTGTTTGCTATTAAGCCTGAAATTTCCACGAAATTTATGAAAAAGTATGAACACATTGTTTAATAATGCTCTATAAAATATTTAAATGGCTTATGCTTTATAGATATTTTTATATATACTTTAATTACCTTATTTCTTGCTTAAATGCATATTTTACACATTTTATTTTCATTACTCACCATTTTATGACTTTTAACATTATACATCTGAAAACTAAATATATTACTTAAAATTCTCTTTTCGTATGAAAAATTTGAAAATAGGGATCTACACAAAGTCCTACGTTACATTCCTTGCACTCATAATAACGCATTTGCCGTTTTTGAGGATTTTTCTGGGAATGTGAACAAATGAAGCATCGTCGCTTCATTTTCTTATCAGTCTCTTCTGAAAAAAGTTTTGGAAAATGTCTTTCAGTTAATCTTTCAGAATCAATATCAGAATTTCAGAATCAATATCTGAAATATTTTGCCTCATTTCTGCTATTTCATGCTCTGTTAAACATTTCGACATTGCAACGGTAAAAACAGAAAAAATTCACGTCTAACAAGATCTAATTATTTTCTAAAAACTGAACTGCAAACCGAAAAACCCAACGCTTTAGCGAAAATAAAACTTTTCTACTTACAATAAATAACTACCACATGCGAATTTAAAGAGACGTCATAAATCACGCCATTCGAAACCATTTATTTCCCCTTTTGTTTATACAATCAAAAACACGTGCATGTGAGTCATGCTTCTCTCATTTCGAGTAGAAGGTTTAATGTACATGTTTCTGAAACCATATGGACATACAGTGCCATCTTGTGTCAGAAATTATAGTTTTTAAAACGTTCCAGGACACTGGCACAAATACGTGACAGTCGGGGCTGAACGGGAAAACGCTCTGTCACGCCTGTGTGTCGGCCAGGAAGTGAGTGTGTTCGTTGCTGGCACGTAGATGTGACATTTGGTGCGAAGGGGTTAAAATGCTCAGTTCGAATGAATTAATAGACACTTTTAAAATAATTATCTGAAGAGACAATGCAACACTACCAATTAAAATAAAAGTCTAAAAATTTAAAAATGACCTAAAATAGTAACTATGCCTAAAATATAGTATAAAGAAAACTATTTGAAAATAAATAAATAAATAAATAAATGATGCACCTTTGATTTAAACTAAACAGTTCGAATGAGTAAACAAAAACTTTTAAAACAGTTATTCGAAAGAAACCATGCAACTTAAACAATTAAAATGAAATTTGAAAAAGAAAAAATACTTAAAATAATAACAATTATAATTAAAAATATAATATAAAGACCGTTATCTGAAAAAAGGAACGACTGTGACTTCCCCCCCCTCACGCATGAAGTAGGAAGGGAAAGAAACATAGGTTGTCATATATTAAGAAGTTCGCCAAGTGAACTAATTATTCTTGGCGCAACTGAAAAAAAAGCATCAACATAAACTGTTGAATTTCTCCATAAATTTCGCACCAAATTTTACAAAATTTAGTATTTAGGCACAATTTGAGTCGTAGTATCGAAATATGTAAAAAAATGGTATATTATTTTAGAAAAAGTCCGTTTTTGTGTCAAAATACCTATGTTAAAATAGTGTTGTATATAAATCTAATATTATCCTAAGTTGCGCTTTCGAGACATGAAGAACGCAATTTGAATTTCATGAATTGGCCCAGTAGAACGGGAGATATAGAACTGTCTCTCTCTCTCTCTCTCTCTTTTTTTTTTTTTTTTTTTGAGCAGTGTACATCACTTCTACCGATTTTCGTTCCATTCGGATCTCTTGGTGCGTCGTTTTTTTTTTCCTAAGAATGTATATTCACTGGCCATGGTGCGATTCCCCAGCCAGCAGGTGTTTAGTGTTTGGAACTAAAAATTGTATTTACCACATAGCTCTTTTTTTTTTTTTTTTTCCCTTTTGTGGGAGGAGGAGGGAGTATTATATTTTCCACTTCTAGACTCTAAAGGTAGGGTAATTTTTTGGGGGGCGCTTGCTGGTGGCCTGGAGGTTCAAGGTTCAGATATTGGAATAGTTCGACCGCCTAATCCATGTGCAAACACGCATGTGCCATTCGGACCGAATTATTCTCAAAATAGGGTGGAAGGATGGGGATTTTCTTTTCCTTCAGCATAGCTTTTTGAGGAGAAGATAAGACCTTTCACATCGCAGCAAGTAACACCATCCCTTTTGGACAAGTCTAAGAGTGTTTGGGCAGAATGCCAACCACAGGTGTGCTTCAGACGGTCGAACTATATCTGGATTTTGTCATTGTTATTGTATTTTCATTTATTTTGTATATACAAAAATTATATATCCTGATTTATAACTAAGTTTTGTAATAATACAGAAAAATCCTGCTTAAGCTGAATTTTACATGCACAAAAATATGTTAGTATGAATAACAGAAATGATATTATTTGCCACTTTACTATAGTTATTAAACAAACAGTTAGTGACAGCATTTTAAGCTACAAAAAAATTCTTATAAATTGTTACAAATTGGGCAATGTTATCAAAAGATAGATATGACATTAATGAGATGCCATGCAGACACTAACATATGCGGCATATAAATATTATTTTTCAATAAAATGTAAAAATTCTCTTCATGTTGCATATGAGTTTAATTTTAGAAACTGCTTGTTTAACTGAACACGATGAACCATACATGAGTTATCTGGAAGAAATTCTCTAAAGTAAGTTGTCTTGCATTAATGTTATATGTGGAGAAAACCACAAAAACACTGATGCAACCAGTCTGTTTATCAGACTTCAAATCCATGCTGAAATGCTAGTGTTCACTCACCCATTAGTAAGCCATTTCAGAAATTATAATATTTTTTAAGTAAGAACTGTTATACAGTCCAAAACGTTTTTAATCCGGAATGATCTATAATCCGGACCTCAAAGCTACAAACTTTCTGTGCATGCGTCAACGCATAATGCGTTAACGCCTGCTCATAATACCTTTACGCATGTGCATATGCATCTACGCATGTCTACGCATGTGCATATGCATCTACGCATGCGCATAATATGTTTACGCATGCGCGTTTAATGTATAATGGACGGTATAAGCTAAGCTAAGATTATCTAATTATCTATTTGAGTTAATGTTGCAGATTGCGTTTTTCCTTAATCTTCTAACTGAATCTGGCTTACTATTTTTTGCAGACTGTTAGAGCAATTGTATAAAAGTAAGCTTCAACTTTCGATTATGTCAAAAAGAATTTCCGATTCTGGAGCTACCAAAGGATCTACAAAGCGAAAGCATGTTTCGATGTCCATCAAACAAAAAGTGGCATTGCGGCAAAAAATATATAAAGGCATATCCTTTGTTTCCCTAACCTTTCCGAAATCTGTTTATTAATTTCACGCTGCTCTCCCCGGAGGGAAGGGGTGGAACATCGCGGCGCGCAATGAAGTGGAAGTTGATCTGTCAGTACTATCCTCATCTTCAGAGCAGATGTTTTTATTTTATTTGGCTTATAACTCCTTACTAAATGTAGTATTTCATCTCGATGTACTCCGTCTTTGATATGATTTAAATCAAATTCCTTGTCATTATAAATATCACAAATACACATCAAATAGTTTTCTGGTTGCAACTTTCTAATTTTGACTATGCGTAATGTATGCTTTACGCATGCGTGCACTTAAAGAAATGTTTAAAGTAAACAAATAAATATTAAGTTTTTTTCCTTTTCTAAATTTTGATACCCTTTAGATCGTAATTGCTCTTTATTTCATAAATTACGGTTTCATATTTTTAATTTTATAATTTCTGCATGCCATCTTACCAGATTTAAACTGATGATCTATAATCCGGAAAAACTGATAATCCAAAATCACCGAAGTCCCGAAGAGTCCGGATTAAAGACTTTTGACTGTATTTGATTTAATAAATGGCAAAATACTCTTCTCAATCATGTCAATAAAAATGACAATCAATGCATTAAAAAATTCAGAGTCTCTCAGCATTAGGAGAAAAAGTATATTCGGATTCTATAATATTATAGCTATAATTACAAAAGAACTCGAATTGCTTTTCAATCACATTTAGGCATACAGCAGAAATTTTGCATAATGCTGGTTATGCTATCAAAAGAAGTTCAAAAATTTTTTAAAAATTTTGATATAGTAATGGTCAGCTACTACAAACTGCATAACAAGGTGAAAAAGTTCAACATCATTCAAACATTTACCCGATTTTTTTCCTTTTTGTTTTTAATAGAAAAGAAGCTGGATCACATTTTTAGATATTATGCACACATTTAAACAACAGACTTTGATGGTTATCCTATAAATGCATTTATAATCTTTTTCAAATTTTTTATAAAATAATGGATGATTTACAATTATTCCTACTATTATTACGTTTTCTTAGTAAGATTTTGCCTATAATGCATTAGCAATGGATTAATTAATCACATTAAGCGAGGTTTCCCTATACTTTTGTTATAATGATTATTTATAAATCGTTTTAAGAATGGGACTAAGAAGTGGGAACTATGTCCCCCCCCCAAGAACACAAACAATAAAAAAAAATAATAAATAAATAAATAAATAAATAAAAAAAACTTACTTTAATCCTTGTCCGACATCTCTAAGTACCTCCCGGGGCTGCCAGTGGCTACTACTCAGTCCATGAGTTTCTAAATCTCGAATTCTTTTATTATAAGTTTCTAATTTTTTCTGAAGCTGTGCAATGGCTTGAGCTGACTTCAAGTTCTTTTTCTCAAATACACTTTTAATTCTTTGTAACTGTTGTTTATCAGCACTTGCAGCTAATTTTAAATATTCATTGACATTTTCTGAAGCAAGAGAAATATAACATAATTACAAACTTATTCAAATAAAAATACTTAAATGTATACAGATCTGGTAATTTAAAACACTAAATTAATAAATGATGGACTTTGCTGGTAGTGATTTTTTTTCCACTCGATACATCTGTCATGTCACCTTTTGCTCCAGTACATGGCTTCACTCCAGGTTACATTTCCATGCAATACCTCAGATCTTGCCCAACAAATCAGAAACTCTTTTTTTTTCCTGTTAATGTTCCAATTCAGTTTGTGTACACATTTATTTCGAAGTGGGTCATTATAATTTGTGTTACTCATGCTGATTATTATTACTAATATTATTTGTATCCTCATTTATTTGATCACATCTATATTATAGATAAGTAGTCGAAAAAAAAATGCTAACTGTATACAAAAATGCACTTTTAAACTCATACTCAAGGAGACCAAAATGAAGAATGTGGTAAAATGTGGTATAAAAGCATTATTATGATTACTCAGCTTTACTAAATTAGGGTTTTCATGGAATGAAGATATTCCATAACCTGATTGAGTTACAATGAAATACATACAAACAAAAGCATGCAGCCAAGTAAATTAGGTCAGCACATTGACAAAAGGCTTCTTAATTTAAAAAATCAGTGTCCTGGATTTTTCAAAAGAAAGCTGGGTGTAATGAAAGTGTCAAAAACAAAACAAGATCAATGAAAATGCTATGCACACTCCATATCCGATTAGTTACTGAACTGATACTAGTTTTCTTTATTCTGCGTAAGAGAAGAAGCACAGAGACTTTACTTTCTACTTATATTGAAAAGTAAGATAAGTAAAGAGTTTGGAAGGTGTGGAATACATATTTATTTCAGACAATTTTCATTGTAATGTGATAACACAACTTGTGTGTTGTTGCCCTTTTAGAAAATCTAGCTGAAAGAGACACACATGAATAAAAATTTTAAACTCAGGCAAAAAACAACCTTAGATTGGCATAGATTTTAAATAAAACTCCCATCAATTTGAAGGATGATCTGACATAAGTCCCTTTCCTTCAGCTGCAGAGAAGTTTCACAATATACTACATGTATGGTTAATGTAAGCAGCCAACAATTAAAAGAATAAACAAAATTAGAATTTATGGTACTTATGCATTAGCATAACCACCTTCACACTATTTAGCAAATTTTATGGAAGAGGGAAAATTTTTTTGAAGGGAGGTTGTACAAAAAATATTTATTATACAGATACAGATTTTACAATTCAAATATGTATTTGTTTCAAAAAATAATCAATATACCTTTTATAAGAGGGCTTTTGTTTTGTTTGTTCTAGCAGAAATTTCTTGGTGATAGCTTTGAGAAGAGATTTAATTTTAACAAATTTTGTGGCAAAATACTGCATTTCTGTAGAAAATTTTCCCAACTTTCTCCTAATGGCGGCAAATTTCACAAGCATACGTTTTAAAATTAAGCAACCCCCCCCAGAAAAAAAAATCATGATTTTTCCATTAAAAGTGTTGGAGCTTGAAATACAATGGTGGCAACAACAAAATGCACACCAGTATGTTGAAGTTGGTTGTTAAAAACTGAAGAAATGTCAGGCATATGGTTACCTGAAGAACTGTTATGTGTGTGGTTGCTAGAATTGGACACATTCTAAAATTTTGGCTATTTCTAGTAAGGTGATACAGATTACATGCAAGTACCAAATTTATTATAATATTTATTTAAAAAATATCTAAGTTATAAAATATGTTCCTAATCCATTAATTAATGTTTTCGTTTTATTTAAAGGGAAAAAAAGTAACTTTATGAAGGTACAAAGGTGATATAGAGAATAAAATATTTACATAAATATCATTTATTTCTACGACATTGCCTAAAGTACACCTTTTTTTTCTCCAACTTTACTTAGTACAATGCTAATTTTTAAACATTTTTTCTATGACTGATAAATTACATAAATTCTTCCCCCAAACCACACATGGTTTGTTATCAGATTTAAATAAATTAAGCACCAACAATAAATTATGGATGTGTTTTTAATACCATCTCTTGCAGTTTGTCCTTCTTTAATCAGTTCTTTAGTGCGGGCAATTTTCTGATATGTTTGTTCTATGGCAGCTCTTGTTCTTTGGTAATCTGAAGTAGAGCCTCCTTCGAGACTGTCCTGAAGTAGCAAATGACTAGTAGAGGACTCATTACCACTTCCATTTGGACGCCAAATAGGAACTTCCTACATGTAAATAAACCATTATTTAAACAAATAGGAACCTCCCCCATGTAAATAAAGCATTACTAACTTTTATGTTACAGATAAAACAATCTATAAGATTATTGCTCTGTGAACATAAGTTTAAGAAGGCAATCACATAGAATGGTATATTGGCTTGTGTCAATATATGGTACACTATGTGGGAAAGGGGGCAGGAAAAGAAAGAAAGGATAGTTCCACATCTCTTGTTTTAAATGACCAGTTTACAAAATTTACATTGCATTTTTCATGCCTCAAAGTCATGACTTAGGATATATATTGGGTGTACAGAAAAAGAACAGCTCACATGCCCAAAATAAAAGTGTTTAATACAGTATGGTTTATATAGTTGAGAAGAACTCAGAAAGTTTTGTTCATTGGAAAGACTTTGCTGCGTGGAAATGACCCCTTTAGATTTCTTTGCTGTGACTCAGATTTTAAACTCTACATTTCATTTTGTTGGGGTTTATGAAGGAAAAAGTATATCAAATGCCTGTTATCAATCTTGCAGTTTTATGTGCCTGAATTATGGAGATGATAGGGCTATGGTTATGCCAGTAATGCTTTTGAATGAGTGGAACGAGACAGGGCCCAAGGTACAACTATATGAATATTAATCACACATCATTACATATTAAACCATTACATTTAATGTAAAGCAAACAAATAAAAATTATTAAGTTAATAATTCAGAATACTCTGTAGTAACTATCATGGTTAGATCCTTACAATGCTTTAAGCTCACAAATTGAAGAGCTTAATTTTTTGTTTTATTTCTAATTATCTACCAATTAAAGAATATGAAATATCATTTTTCATATAATTGATTTCAGAGAATTAATACTGTTTTCTTTGATGAAATGTTTTGCACAGAAAAAGAAAAAAAAAAAAGTACATGTACCACAAAAGAAAATGTAACTTTACAAAAGAAAAATATATAACTTGCCAGTTCTGCAACTTCATCTGTAGTAGTCTGCTCTTCTGTTGAACTTGATGCCAAAGGCCAACAATTTAAGTAAGAAGTGGATGGTGTATTTCCTCCTGAGCCTCCATAAGTTGGTGTCAAAACAGAAAGTGCAGTGGAGGACTGAGTTGTTAAATGCTTAGGAGTGTTGTTTCCATTGCTGAGTATCCCACTCTTTCGAGGGATAACTGGGCTTTTACGTTTCATTTTAAAAAAGCATACTGACAACAGAAAAAAGCATATATTACCAGAAACCAAGAATTCAAGTAAAATACATGCAAATCTAGGAATAAAAACACATAATTTTGCATGCATTAATCATTTAGAAATCAAATTCAATTACAGTTTAGAATTTTACTATTTCTGCACCCCCCCCATCTTTTATTCATTATTATCTATTTAAAGATAATATTTATATACTTCCAAAAGTTTCTAACAAGATATACTTCTCAAAGGAATACAAAAAATTTTAGTAGTTTATTTTTTAATATAAGCTGCTAATATTTTGAAACACTTTTCACACTGTTTAATGAGCAGTTCCATGACCCTGAAAAAGCAATCTGAAGATTTGCTGTCAAAATATTCCATTAACATCTATTTTCATGCCATCACCATCATTATTAAATCACTTTCCATGAAGGTAAAATTTCAGTTTGGAGAACAGATAATAACCACTTAGAACTAAATCTGGGGTAGATGGAGTGTGTATTTCATTAAAGTGTCTCAGAATTTTTTGACAGTTCTAAAAAATAAAAGCAATAAATTTTTCATTAATTGCTTTCTTGGTGGTTTCACCCAGTTTTCTCTATTCCATTATTCTCTCTTAGACGATGATTCATAGCATAGGATATATGTTTCGTCCTCAGCCTTGTCTGCAAAAAATCACAATAACTGTTTTCAGCAAATGCCCCATTACAGTTTTTGCATAACAGAAAAACAGTTATTATAGATAGATCCAATCTTGCTTTTATTTTCCCGACATTCGTTCTCCTTGTTTGTTGTGAAGTTGTTTGACTTCTGAATTAGTATTCGTTCTCCTGTTTCCCCATATATAAACTCTTGGATATAAGCAATTTCTGATGTCAATGCCTCTAACTGTCAACCTTCCAAAGAATCATCTTCTGTAGATTCTGAAGCCCATACAAATTTGTTCTACCGGTTCAATTACCTCAAATCATGAAAGGAATGAATGATCGATCATACATAATAAACAAGCACTGTTTCATATCTTTAAAGCCTTCTTTAGTCAAAAATTTAACTGCAGAATAATACTTGATTTTAAACATTTTAGTATAAACATACACATTATTTCATTCAATAAACAGTAAACAAAAATATAATGCAAATGACTTCACTTATGAAACTTTCAAATTTAATCATCATTGCATACCTGCAAGATGAATTTATTGCCTAACTACTTTTTATAGGTAACGTTGGATACTTTTGGATCTATCTATATATAAATACGGTATAAAGTCCGTAATCTGGACATCCATTATCCGGAATGATCTATAATCCGGACCTCAAAGCCACAAACTTTTTTTTTTTTTTTTTTTTTTTTGCATGCTTTACGCATGGGCGCTTTGAAAGAAATGTTTAATAAAGTAAACAAATAAATATTAAGCTTTTTTTTTTTTTTTTTTTTTTTTTTTTTTTTTTTGTAAATTTGATACCCTTTAGATCATAATTGTTCTTTATTTCATAAATTACAGTTTCATATTTTTAACAGTATAATTTCTGCATGCCATCTTACCAGATTTAAATTGATGATCTATAATTCAGAAAAATCCCTAATTCGGAGTCACTGAAGTCCCGACGAGTCCGGATTACGGACTTTGTGCTATATGCATTTTGAAGATGCCCATTTGAGAATATTAAAATCTATCACCAAGATTCTTTCACTAATAAATTTGTTTGTAATGCACATTAAAAATTCTAACATATAAAATCTGGTAAAGTAATTATTGTGTACTATTTTTAAATTTTAATATTAATTATCTTTAATTTTAGAGATTTCCACATTCAGAAATTTAGAAGAAATTAGAAGTTCTGAAAATAAGTATTTACTACACAAAAAAAAAAAAAAAAAAAAAGACACGTTATTTTTTTGCTTAGAAAAATAATTTTAACAATCAGTTCTGCAACATTTAATGGAGTAAACTCGTTACGATAGCTATAAAAACCCTCCCTCCAAAATAATTAAAATAATTTATTCTAAAAATATTTTCAAATGGAAATATCAGTTTTGAAATTTTTATTACAATACAGTCAAAAGTCTTTAATCTGGTCTCATCAGGACTTCGGTGATTCCGGATTATAGATCATCAGTTTAAATCTGGTAAGATGACATGCAGAAATTATAAAATTAAAAATATGAAACCGTAATTTATGAAATAAAGAGCAATTATCTAAAGGGTATCAAAATTTACAAAAAAAAAAAAAAAAAAAAAAAAAAAAAAAAAAAAAAGCTTAATATTTATTTGTTTACTTTATTAAACATTTCTTTCAATGCGCGCATGCGTAAAGCATACATTACGCATAGTCGAAACAAGAAAATTGCAACCAGAAAACTATTTGATTTGTATTCGTGATATTTATAATGACGAAGAATTTGATTTAAGTCATATCAAAGTCGGAGTACATCGAGACGAAATACTACATTTAGTAAGGAATTATAAGCCAAATAAAATAAAAACATCTGCCTTGAAGATAAGGATAGTCCTGACAGATCAACTTCCAGTTCATTGCGCGACGCGAGGTCCCCACCCTCGCGCAGAGCAGCGTGAAATTGATAAACAGATTTCGGAATGGTTAGAGAAACAAAGCTGACTTTATCAATTTTTTTGCAGCAATTCCACTTTTTGTTTGATGGACATCGAAACATGCTTTCCCTTTGTTGATCCTTTGGCAGCTCCATCATCGGAAATTCTATTTGACATAATCGAAAGTTCCAACTTACTTTTATAAAATTGCTCTAACAGTCTGCAAAAAATAATAAGCCGGATCCAATTCGAAGATTAAGGAACAACGCAATCTGCAACACTAACTGAAATAAATAATTAGATAATTTTAGCTTAGTTTATACCGCCCGTTATACATTAAACGCGCATGTGTAAACGTATTATGCGCATGCGTAAAGGTATTACGCGCATGAATGCGTTGATGCATGTACAGAAAGTTTGTAGCTTTGAGGTCCGGATTATAGATCATTCCAGAATATGGGTGCCCGGATTAACGACTTTTGACTGTATAGGTTCCAATAAAGTGATATTAATATCTTCATTTCCAACATTTAGTTAAAACATTTTTGTAATGATTTAAAAAGCTGAAAGCTAAGATGATACAAAAAGTAGTAATAAGCAAGTCTTAACTGTATCAAAAATAAATCCTAAAAGAAAAATAAGAGTCAAAGATAAATCCTGACAAAAAACAAGTGCATCAAAATTCTGAAAATAATAATAATAATTGTATCAAAAATACAGGATGGATTAAAACAGAATGTTTTGTTCTTTCTAACTGCAAATATAAAGTTAGTAACTACAGCAAAGCACATTATAAGACATGCTTGAACTATAACATTTTCCGTATGACAGAATAATGGCACATATTTTACGATATCTATTATTCCAACAAATATTTTTGTTCACACAAAAAGCATTTAAATCAAATGGATTTACTTACTTCAAAGGAAAAAGGTATTAAAGGGGGATTAAAACAAGATAGCACTTAGTGCAAATTGACAGTAACAAGAATAATACCTTGTGTTCAATAAAAATTTCTCCAATGGAGTAACAATAATAATACCTTGTGTTCAATAAAAATTTTCTCCAAGTTCAATACGGACAAATTTTCCAAGCTTCAATTTGACAAAAAATTTTTGCCAAATTTTAAAAAATTAATATACAACTTCCTTATTTTATTTCAAATAATTATTTATTAATTTTTTAAGTTGCATTTCTACCCCTGGGTGGGCTTTGGAAAAATTTTAATACTTTGAACACAATTTGTTATCCCTGTATATTATTTTGAGTCCATATATCCATTTGACAAAATGCTAACTTTTTAAAATTTTTTATAACCTTAACTGTCCACATGTTGCACAGAAATTTTAAAAGATAATCCCATGGTTCCAAATCAGCATGCTAATCCACAGTGAAAGAAGTTTTAACATATTTAATATTAAAGGACTTCTTTATTAAAAAAATTAGCGATTTTTTCTCCCTGGAGCAAATTACAAAAAAAAAAAAAAAAAAAAAAAAAAAAAAAACCTATTTACAAAAAACCAATATTACATGGTTGGTATGATTGTTAATACATTGTATGTCTCCCAGACGATGCAATACAGTCTGTACAATGCCTAGGCATGCTGAGATTCAAATTATCGATCTGATCTTGGGGGGTATTGCACCACTGAAAAGCAATGCTGTCTGAAGTTCCGGTAGACATGTAGGAGGAGGTTGACGGGCTGCAACTCGTCGGCCAAGCATGTCCCACACGTGCTGTACTGGATTCAAGTCCGGTGAGAATGCTGGTCAGTCCATACGGCTGATATCCTCCGATCGAAGGCATTCGCTTACGATGTTTGCACGGTGAAGACGGCGTTGTCATCCATAAACACAAATTGTGTGCCCCTGGCGCCCCGAAACAAACGTACATGCTGTTCCAGAATGACGTTCCGATAGATTTGGCTTGTCATGGTTCCAAATTGAACATGCAGGTCAGTTCTAGAACCTAGAATAATTCCACCCCAAACGAGCACTCCTGCACCACCGTAACAGTGTCATTCAATGATCTTTTCTTGGTGGTAACGAGTACCTGGAACTCTCCATACGAAAGTCCGGCAAAAATCAGACTGCAAGCTAAACCTGGACTCATTGGAAAACATCACACAAGCCCACTTTTGCAGTGTCCACAATGCATGCTCTCTACTCTAGGCTAACCACAGGCAACAGTGATTAGCAGTAAGTGGAACGCATCTGACAGGTCTACGAGCATATAGACCAATCTGCCCTAAGCGTCTGTACACGGTCTGCCTTGAAATTGTCGTACCAGTGGCTGAAGAGAGCTGACAAGACAGGTCTGAGGCTGTGCTCCGCCTGTTTCTTTTGGCAGTAACTGCCAAATACCGGTCCTCATTCGGCATTGTAACTCTGGGTCGACCTGTGTTGTAACGTCTACTTACATTACCATCATCTTGGAATGGTTGCCAAAGCCTGGAGAT